TATATATATATATATATATATATATATATATATATATATATATATATATATATATATATATATACATCTATATGACCATGTATATGTATTGCAATCAGATAAAAAAATAAAGAGAACGCAAAGCAACAAATGCAGATCGATCCGTGCGCTCGTCTTTCGGCGTATACATTAACCTCCCAGATAGCCAAATAATAACACTTTGCCAGCATAATGCTAACAAATTCGGTCATGCCTTTTACGCAGATTCCGATTCACTGCGTCCGCATTAAGCTTAGTTTTTGACAACACGGTCTGGTAACATAATGTGACGAAAAATGCAGTAAAATTCGAATATATTCTACTAACACTAAGTATCAGTAGAAGAGTAATAAAAATTACGCACATCATTTTTTCATGGCGTGATAGCAAAAACGTTACAAAAATCGACACATGCTATTACAACGTGACAACAGAATCGCGGCAAAATTGGAGCATGGCCTGCCATCACGGCGTGACAGCAGAAACGCGGCAGAAATCAGATTTAATTTAGTTAAAAATTGTGCTAGAATATACTCTAGATGCTAACAATATATGACCTTAATAAACTGCAGTAACATGACCGACAGATAGGTACCACTGTGCATGCGTGAGAATCCGAATATAATTCTACGATAGATCTAACGTTATGGGCGCGACTTTGGAATATTGGCAAATTATTTTTAAGATTCTGGGGGTGCTACTGAGGGAGTAGAGATACGTCAACAAATATTGTCATCAAGGAGACGACGCAAGGCGAAATGCGCATTTCTTTTTCGAAACTGAACTCTAGTAATCACGAAAAATACTTTAAAAGACTGCAAAATTACCCTAGAATGCGCTCTACACGCTAACACTATATGACTTAACCTGCAGTAATATGACCGACTTTCGGCCCATGCGCAGATAGGTACCACTGCGCATGCGCGAGAATCAGAATAGATGTCCCGATCTACAATAGGTGTAATAAGCTTTAAGCCTTAAGAAATTGACTAATCACAGTCGAATTATAGAGGAATAATCAATTGTGATTGGTTAATTTCTTACGGCTTAAAGCTTACTATTGTAGATCGGGACTAATCTACGATGAATCTAACGTTATGGGCGAAACACAAGACACATCGGTTCGAATCTCGGCTTAATAATTTAATTTGTTATCTTTAATTTGTTGAAATTTAATTTGTCGTCTTGTCAACAAGAAACACCATGTATGCATAAGAAAATATCTCCGAAGAGATAGTATGTCGTATATAATACGACATAACAAGTTATAAAGTATATTAATTAAATAGTATATACATATAGAGAATACATAGAGTATATATAAAACATATATAGAACATAAAAAAACATATATAATATACAGGGTGTCCCGCGTAAGACGTACGAAAAGAAAAATATAAGTAAAACACATAATAGTGAACAAGAATTGTATAGGTCATTTTTCAAACAACCACGTAAAATTTCGAGATATTAATTAAAATAGTTGGGCATATCAGAGCGCGACGACACAGCAGGCGGGACGACATACGGCTCGCCGCGGCCGGCGAAAAAAATGGACGATTGCTCGCGGGCTTATCTTATAGGCCGGAGAGATGGACCGTTTGGCATATTGAAATGAGTAGCTCCGTGTGTGCGTCCGTGTACGTGTACGTTCTTCCATTTTCTTTGCTGGCTGCGGCGAACCGTATGTCTCGTCTGCCGCGCTCTGATATGCCCAACTATTTTAATTAATATCTCGAAATTTTACGTAGTTGTTTGAAAAATTACTTATATAATTTTTGTTCACTTTTATGTGTTCTACTTATTTTTTTTTCGTAAGTCTTACGCGGGACACTCTATATACAAAACATATAAATATGACATGTTGAAATATATCAGTTTAATGTATCATCAAGAAATAATCCAACGAGAAAGAAGCCTGCCGAGTCGAGATTTCAATTGGCCATTGTTATGACCCAATTCAAAAAATTATAAGCTTTTATCAATGGATACTCCATTCACATATTTTTAAACCAAACAAAAGAAATTCAAGCCTTATAGATACTTGAAATGAATTAAGAAAAATTTTATTATTTTTTACCAATTGCGTCTCTTTGCACATTTTTCTAAGGATTGAGCTAGTCAGTACTCTTAAAGAAATGGAAATGTTTGACTTGTTCAACTATTGCGAAAATCTCAGAACTAAATTCTTTGGTTGGATTATTTTTATGTAACTCCGGCGAATTGCAAATTCTAATTTTTACTTTACTTCCCGTCGAACCAATGTAATTTACGTCTACATGCATGCAATCTACTTAAAGTGACGTTTTGTGTCTACTATATGAGTGTCTAAATTGAACGCTCACCATTGCGCGTCGTCCTACGGTGTCCAAAGTTCACCAGCCATTCTATCGCTGCACCTGACACTGCAATGATCCTCGTGTCCCATGTCGCCTGTAATTTATTCCCGACCGCGATAATTTAACAAAGGTTTCAAAAATTCCGTCTCTCTTAGGGGATACACTCCGAGTTGCAAATTGCGTATGAAATATCACGAACTACATCCTCGAGGAAATGTCGGATAAACGACGAGTATATGCGATGAATTCAGCAACGGTCCGATCGAGTTATAATGTATCGCTTTGATACACGCAAATTACATACAAAGAAATGGAATTCGTGAGCGAAGGAAACACGTGAGGCGAATCGAAGACTGATCTCGCGAAATCTTTCGACGCATGGGCGAAATAATCTGTGCGAGATTCTCACGTACGACACGGAATACCTCTAATGTAACGTTTCGATGGTACAGCGTAGTAGGCTGCAATACAGTTCTACAATATTTTTGCGGATAGCAATTCCTCAATACTTTTGCAAAGACAATTCCGCAATATTTTTGCGGATAATAGCTCCTCAATACTTTTGCGAAGACAATTCCGCAATAATTTTGCGGATAATAGCTCCGCAATACTTTTGCGAAAACAATTCCGCACTGCTTTTTGCGGATAAGATCTCCGCAATATTTCTGCAAAGTTTGCTCTCGACTTTTCCGCAAATATGGAACGATAATATTCACATATCTGTTAAAACGTATAATCGCGAACGCAAAAGTGAATAAAAAATCGAGAAGTATGAAAATTGCGACGATAGAGAAAAAGATTTATTCAAAATTTACGCGAAAAAAATGTTACCGCGTGAGGCGCCTGTCCTTTTTCTCGATGGAACTCGTCGCGCGCCGCGTAAATAAACAAACATTTGCTCGCATGCCTGACTTACATACATCGCATTTTTCGCGAAAGATCAACGCTCGTTAGCATTGTCTATTCTCCCACGCTAGGGAACTCTAACTCTAAGTGAAAAATTGAAAACTGAAAATTTTTCGACGGTCGTGAAATTAATTTCGCGAGTAGTTTATGTAATCACGTTAGATCGCTTCGCATAAGTACCGCACGATATCGAATTTTATTTAATAACGAGGCATGAACTTTGTACTTTACGAAATGCAATCGCAAAGCAAGCTCACGCGAGGGAGAAAATTGCGAAAATTAACGACCGGCGGAAAATCTGTTGACGCGGGTGATGCGATCGCGTATTTTCTGTGGCGCAATCTCTGTGGCGCAATCTCCTTGTGCATTAGCGCACTGATCGAGCACACCTAGACAATCGAATTCAATGAGACTGTATAATTTTATACAGTTTTGAGTGTTCGAAGTGGAAATATACGCGAAACTTTGAGTATCGAGGTTGAGTGAGATTGATTCGGCTCGGGCCTTTCTGAGTCAGCTCGAAGGTGAGCTTCACTAATTTGTACTTATAAAGAGAAATCCGACAAAACTAAAAATTTTCTTGTTTGGAATCGAGTTCCTAATCGAGTTGCAGAGACAAAGAAGACGACCAATCAACTCTTAGGGACTGCTGCGCCGGAAGATCCGGCTTGGGCCGAGCAAGGTTAGGTCGAAGGTGAGCTTCATTAATTAGCATTTGTTATTAGAAATCCGACAAGATTGATAATTCTCTTGCTCGAAATTGAAATAATTTGAAATAATGGAATCACAGATCGCGTTAAATCGTAATTACATGCGGGGAGAATTTTTCTTGAATAACATCACCATTTAAAAAATTTTGATTTGTTCTGATTAAGAGATTTATTTGCAACTTCAAGAAAAAGGAAAGTTGAATATTCCAAATGTGAATGCATTCTGAAAAATTCATTCAGCGTGAAAAATATTGCGCTTATTTTTTTTTTAATTCTTCAAATTTCTTCACTCAAATCTACATCAATGCACGAATCTAATCGGCAAAATGGCATTTTTCTATTCCAGAAACGAAAGTAGAATGTGGCTACCCTGATGGGCGGTTTGGTGAGTCAAAATAAGAAACACATTGATAATAGAAAGACAAAAAGTCTTTCGATGTAATGCATATTTCGAATCAATGCGATTTACTTTACTGTAGTTGTAGTATATGTACGTGCCGTGCAATAAAAATCACACTGCTCGAAACAATTGAAAGATCGCTTTATCAAATAATAATATTAGTGATAATGCATATTTTATATATGATAGAATTTAGTGGCTACATTTTATCGATCGCGAATGTGAAAATTGAAATTTTCTAGAGAGAATCTCTTTCGCAGTCTTCGTCGCGAGTATGCACTTTGCAGAGATATCGAAATTGTCGAGAGTTGTCGTTACTCGAAAGTCGAGAGTTGTCGATCGAGTATCGACTCGGCGTGAAGGTTTCGAATCGAACGTCGATACTCGATATCATTTTCACGATAATGTGTGTGTAATTTAGCGTGCAGCGTATAATTGTCTGAGGAAATTTTACCTGTTCGTTTTATGACGAGGCGGCATTTTTATCTCATTATCGCTTGCTCTCGTGCGTTGTTTTCTGTTCCCCGGTGTCGTAAAATACGCAAGAGGGCGCGACAAGCAGCACGACGAATCTGTGAAGCTACGCAAACTCCCGTAAGAGCAACGCCGCGCGGTTAGCGGGGCTTCGATAGTACGGTCTCGGTGACCGACCGCAGTCGGCGCGCAACAGCAGCTCGCTGGGCGCCGTGCGCGGAGTTGGTGCGCGTTCTTATTGTTATCGGCGACACGGGAGAGTACCTGAAGCTCGGTCGTGTACATAGCGGATAAGTAGACGGGCGGACGGGTGGGACAGCGGAACAAAAATGGCCAATTATCAGATTGGCTGGTGCAGCAGGTGAGCGATCAGAGATTCGACATGGGTGCGCGCGTGTGCGTGTTGCCTGCCTGCGTGCGTGCGTTTGTGTGTGCGTTGCGTCGTCGGGCGCGGATACATCACTCGTTCGAGAACAAGCCGAATGTGACGTGAATTTGCGACCGTCGAAACGTTGTCGTCGTCCTCACCAGCACGCGGGAGATCTCGGCGAGACGAATCGTTGGCGCAAAATTTCTTCCTCCGCGACGACGATGACGAAGACTTTCGTCGCGGAGCGCTGCGCGTTCCAAGTCGAATGTTCTCGCGAGCTATCGGGAACGGTCGGATAGACGGATGAACGAACGCACGGACTGCGCGCCGGGAACGACACGGCGAAATCGAGGAAGTCGTGAAATCGCAACCCGCGGCGGTACGGCCGATCTCTCGTCCACGAGAGAGGCAGAGAGAGAGAGAAAGAAAAAGAGACCATAGGCCTTGGTGTATCGGCGTACGTAGATTAATTTATTATGTCCATTCGGAAAACATACGTTCCGCACCGTTGTGTGTCGGTTGCTGGGTTAGTTAGTTGGCTACTCTCTCTCTCTCTCTCTCTCTCTCTCTCTCTCTCATCTGCCTCGCTCTCTCTCTCTCTTTCTCTCTCTCATCTGTCTTGTTCTCTCTCGCTATCTTATTTCCCTCTCTCACTCGCTCACTCTCCCCGTATACTCCTGAGCGCGCGCCCGTGTTGAAGAAATGATGCATAGAAAATCTCCGGACGATACGTGCGACACGTGTCTCTGTATTGGGGTGCAGATAGCGACGGTAACAGGAGGGAGAAAAGATATGTGTACGTGTACGCCAGGTGCAATATCATACATATATATATATATATATATATATATATATATATATCTCTCTCTCTTTCCCCTCTCTCCGCCCTTTTCTCTCCCTCCTTCTCTCTCTCTCTCGTTTTTTCTCTCTCTCCCTCCCCCGACCCCGATATATACTAACGCGGCATTGGCGGCGATATGCACACACACCGCGCACCGCACGTATAGTAACGTGGCCATAATGTCATCCCGAAGGCTGCGCTTAGTAATTCACAAAGGGTTCGCTCTTCCGTGAAGTACAGTGCACGGCTACACTTTTCCAGGCGATACCTGCCGCGTCGTACTTCGCCGCTGGACGACAAGCGTTCGTGGTAGGACGGTCTCCTCTCTCTCTCTCTCTCTCTCTCTTTCTCACTTCTCTTTTTCCCGCTCTCCCCTCTTCCATCTCTCTTTCTCTCTCTCTTTCTTATCCTCTCTTTCCCTCTCTCTCTTTTTCTCTCTTCTCGCGGCTGATCCACGAGAGGCATGGCTTCTGGTGCATCCTCCTTGGACAGTGCTGGGAGTAGCGGTGAGTGACAATTTTTATTTTCGAAGAACACAAGCGACCGCGCTCGATAGTGTCGTTCCTTCGCCGACGCCGCGTATATGCGCGGTTAACGTCAGCGCGTCATTGTATTTTTAATTGCGACGTCAGGACGACACGTCGTCGCTGTGCGCGTCGTCGTCGTCGTCGTCGTCGTCGCCGTTGCCGTCGCCGTCGCTACCGTCGGCGCCGTCGCCGTACAGAAATATTTTTATCGGAAAATTATACTTTTCTCACCCCCTCCCTCCCTCCCTCGTTGAGGCCGGAGGCTCGACAAGTCTCCTCGAGGTGAGATACGTCAGCGATGCTCTCGTTTCGGAGCGCAATGTCGAACACGAGTCGCTTTTCACATAATAATCTCATCAACTAACTCGATTTAGTCGTTCTTCTTTCTCTCTCATTTTTTTATTTGTTGTTTTATTTATTTCAATTACGAATAAGGACGAAAGAAATTCTATCTCGCTTCCGCGATGCAAAATTAAAAACTCGCCGAATGGTATAGTTTCTTCTGGATTCTACCAACACGCAAGAAGATTGCACGATATTATCGGCTAATTTCAAGTACTTCGGGGAGTATAGCAAAAATTTGGGAATAACACGCCGCACACGCGTGTCACGGATATTATGCGATACAATAAGCACATCGCTTCTAATTTGGCTCACCGAGGGAAACAATGAGATACACTATGCCCGCACGCGTGACCTAGAGTTTCTTTCCTGGTGAAAGCCGGAGCACGCAAGACCTTTGATTATGTTGTTCCATCTACTGTAACAAGGCGTTTTAGACTTTTAGATTTTATTGTGAAATGCAACGCGCACACTATTCGGATAATGATTCGGTACTTTTACTTTGTATTACCGCTCTTTTTCTTCCGTTACGCGCTCTTCTTTCCTCCGCGATTAGTATGTACTAATTTTCAAGCATATAATACAAGTGTTTTATTATTGATTTTCCAGATGGTGCACTTAACATGGGTAAGAGCTATTTTTAAACAGATATTATAAAAATACACAAACAGACACATCTATATATATCTTTTTTCTTCTCGTTTTCGATAGAGATTCTCTATGTTGACACTTCATTGTTGTATTCGTCTTATTATTAGTATTATCATTGTTACATTATTGCTCGTCATAATGTTTGAGAATGTGTAATGAAATCGATCACATTACTAGTGTGATTATCGTGTACGATTAGTCCCACCTCTCTGAAAATTTTGTCCCTGCTATCGCATCTTCAATTCGTATTTCCACACATCGCGGTGTATCAATGTATCAAACGAAATGTCTTATCTTCACGAGAATAATACTACCAATACTACCTCTTCATCTTTATCTCTCTCTCTCTCTCTCTCTCTCTCTCTCTTCCCCATTTCTTTTTTCTATCTCCCTTCATGCATGCACTTTTACATTATATTATTAGGTTATACGGTGTATTATTTTTTCTTTTCTTTCTCATTTGGTGTGTGCTGTTGGAATTGTCTTACGTGTGACATACAAAACCAGAGAGGGATAGCGGAAGCTACGGCAGTGTCGGAAGTCCTGTTGGCGGTCCCGAGTGTCGTAGTGACTATGACAGTTTACAGGCTCAGTGTGATCAAGCGATGCATCAACTTCAGCTACTTAGGCATAAGCACTCCGATACCATAAGACGGTTGGTTTGTTTTGACTTTTTGTTTTATCTCTGGTCTTGCTCTCTGTGTATTTGTTTATTGTTTATTTTTTTTATTCCCTCTTTCTTTTGTTTTATTTTTACCGTAGAGTATGCGTCTTCACATTTTCCATAACATTCTCGTATCCCTCCCCCCCTTCTCTCTCTTTCTCTGTAGCTCCACGCTTTTAGCTTACGTCGGAACGATCGTAATAATGGCAGTATATGTAAAAAGAGATCTGTGTATGAAACAGATGTGAGCATACTATGAAGGAATTGGAATACTATCGTGGCCAGCACATAGCAGTCATGAATCAACTGGAAGCGGCGTCGCAAGAGAGCTCCGCGTTGCGGGGAAAGTATGGCGACCTGGCGAATGACAAGCAACGGCTGGATCGGGAGGTCCAGACGCTGCAGAAAGAGTTGTCGGAGCTGCGCATACAGAACCAAGAGGTTCTCGTCTCTGACGCCGCCGGCAACGATACCATGAATCAGCACTATCCGCCCGCGCTGCGAAAGTACGACGCCGTCAAGGACGAGTACGATTCCCTCAGGAAACGGTACGATGACTTGATAGCGTCTCACTCGTCTGCCGTTAGTAAGGCAAGTAGTTGGTAGTATTATTCTCGCCTCCGTGTCTCGCGCTCACTTTAATTCGTGCCGACCGACCGACCGACCGACCGACCGACCCACCCGTCGTTTGTCGTCGTCGTCGTCATCGTCGTCATTGTTGTTGTTATTGTTGCTCATTATTGTTGGACACAATCATTTACGCAGAGTCGTGTGTGTGCGATGAATGCAGCTAGAGTTATCGAAGGAGGAGGCGACTAGGCTGAAGACCGACTACGAGCAGGTGACGCTGGAACGTAACAGCGCGATACGCGAACGCAACGCGCTCAAGCAGCAGTGCACCGCAGCGATACGTCAATGGGACATCGCGCTTAGGGAGAGGAATGAATATCGTGAGGCGCTCGCCAAGATCCAGCAGCAGCACGAAGAGGCGGTCAAGGAGATCAATCAAGCGATGGTGCTGCGCATGAAGGCTAGCAAGGACATGAAAAGACTGACGGAGGAGCGAAATGCCGCGCTTCAGGAGTACAGTCTGATTATGGGCGAACGGGACACTGTGCACAAAGAGATAGAGAAACTCACCGACGATCTCTCGCAGGCTTACGGGAAGGTCACGCATTTGGAGACGCAGAACAAGCAGCTCGTGGAGGAGGTAACTTTCATCGAGCGGTGATCCTGCGTGTTTACATTTCCTCTCGTACACTTCTCTTTTCTTTTCGTTTCTATATTCGTAACTGTGTGAGTAAAAGCGACACGTTTGTCTTGATCTGAACCGAATGAAGATAATATTTGATTCCGATCGTTTTTTCCTAACTCTATCGTGATACATACATACATACTCATACATTAGATCTGTCATTTTTATCTGCATCGTTAGATTATCAAGGATTTTATCTTCTGGGTTAATGACTCCTGCACGTGAGAAGTTGATGGTGATGATGATTCACGCGGAAGAATACCTGTCACTGGGTTTACATTTTTTTCAGAAACGGTAAGCGCGCAATAGGGAGGTAGTTCACAGCTGTTGTTATTTCTTACAAACGACACGTTCTCGCGTCCGTCCAGGAGTCATTAAGTGTCTCTCGCGTGCAATTTTACTAGTGGGCAAGTAATCTAGGGTAACGCTATCGCGCGTCGATTATATCGTCGCTGTTTATTCACAGAAAAAAACGTTGTCTTACCAAATCGAGACGTTGAAGAGGGAGATCTCGTCCGCCTTGCAGGACAGGGACGAGGCTCTACAGATGTGCAATGAGTTACGACAAAAGTTCGGCGACTACTCGGAGGGCTCCAGTAGAGACTACAAGCATCGCCTAGAGATGCATTCGTACAGTCGTGAACGCGACAGCGTCATCAAGGAGGATGCCGAAAGGGAGACCAACACCAGGGACTACGCGAAGCGGGATAAGGAACGCATGGACAATCTGGATCAGGCTAACTTGGAAGTAGACAAGCTCAGGAAATCCGTGGACACGCTGCAAACTGACCTGGAGGAGGCGCTTCAGGAAGCCGAGGTGTCGAAGAGGAGACGAGACTGGGCGTTCAGCGAGCGCGACAAGATAGTGCTAGAACGGGAGAGCATAAGGACTCTGTGCGACAGACTGCGAAAGGAGCGCGACCGTGCTGTGTCCGAGTTGGCGAGTGCGCTGCGCGATTCCGACGACATCAAGAAGCAGCGAAATGAAGCGTCGAAGGAGCTGAAAGACCTGAAGGAAAAGATCGAGTCAGGCGATCACGCTCTGCGTACCACTCAGTTGGCACAGAGCCTGACGTGCGGTCACGACGCGTCCGTCGTCGAAGGTAACGACTGGGAGATGATTTCTATACACGTGGAGCCCGGCAGGCTCCACTTGGACGCGGACCGCGACCTGGGACTGATCCTAGTAGGCGGCCGCGACAGTCCATATTATCCGAACGACAACGGCGTCTATGTAGCACAGGTAACGCAGGGAAGCGCCTTTGACGGTAAGCTCCGAGTAAACGATTGCATCACGCGGATAAACAATGTTGACTGTACGTCCGTGTCATCGCGTATCATCATGGAGACCCTGCGCTCATCCGGTACCGTCGGACCGACGACTATGATCGTGAGGCGCCGTCGAATCACTAGACGGTCGCTGAGAACCACACAGCTGTCGGTCGGTTCCGTACCGCATGGTATCACTCTTGAGCTTGGTATCTACATCTCGAAGATATCACCCGGCAGCTTGGCGGCTAAGGACGGAAATCTTGCCGTGGGAGACAGAGTGCTGAACGTAAGTTGCGATACGTAAAATTTCTAGAGTTATACACAAACTTAATTTCAGAAAGAAAATCTATTATATCAATCAACCATGTATACCAATCTAAATTTAGATATATTTTCTCTCCTAGTGAATATTCAACATATATCGAATTTGATTTTCAGATCAACAGCAAGCCGATGGATACTGTAACTTCGGTGCACGAAGCGATGGCCATTTTGAACGACACCACCATAGATGTGCTGACCATCACGACGCTGAAGGGTATCCCCGTGCCCTCGGCTGCCAGTTCGGAAACTATGACGATAGACGGTTTCACAGCGGGGAAGCAGAAGATGGTGAACAGCTGCTCGCAGACCGAACAAGAAAGAATGATGCTGAAGGCCTCGTCGGACGACTACGAGAGACGATACCTTTCGGCAAACTTTGGCGACCGAACTGTCGCGTACAAGGCGGCCAAGTCCGTAAGCGGCGAAAAATCGAGTGGCATCAGCAACGCCTGGGACAACTTTAGGGAGAAGATCGACATAGTGAGAGGCCGCAAGCACGGCAGTAAGGAGCGCGACGACAAAAAGAAGAGCCACCGCAACTCTAGTCCGAACACTTACGAGCAGGAGCAGGATGCGATAGCGGAGTTGGATTCGGTGATAGACAGCTACCACAAGAAGGCGAACAACGGCGTGCTGAAGCGCAGCAAACGACGCGGCGCGGAGAAGGACGAGAAGAACGGCGGCACGTGGCCAAAGGCGCGCGGCGGTCCGCTGATACAGAATGGGACCGGTACTATATTACACCCGAGAAAAACGAAAGAAAGATTCCCCTTGAGCGTAATCCTGCCGAAATACGATAGCCATAATTACAATCGCATCTCCAACCCCACACCCCTGACCAGCTTTTCCAATGTGAGTAATCGGCATACCGTTTACAAAGCAGTGGAGACGCCGTTGCCCAGCTTCACCAAGTCCGGCCAGCTCTATAGCCAGCGTTCCTTCACACCCGCGGCGGCGGCGGTGCAGTTCAAGGACATCCAGATCGACAAGAAGCCACCATCGGCGGAGTTTGTCGAGAGCGCGGCGGCGGAGGCGCGACTTGGCTCCGCCCTGGCGCCGTCTGAGACTAGTATCGATTTCTCGTTGAAGTCTGGCGGCGCCGGTCGCGATCTCGACTACTTCGCCGCCGCGAGCAAACGGCCGCAAAAATATATACCCGCCGGCAGCGGCAGCGAGACGCAGACACCGGAGACCGCGCTACAGCAACACAATCGTGCGCACTCGCAGCTCTACTCTGCCATCGGTGGCTCATCGTCCGCGTCTTCCGCGACCGGCAGCGGCGTCGTCGGCGGGCCGACGCGCCAACAGATAGCAGCAGCAGCAGCCGGTAACTTTCCGTTTCCCCATTCGTACGTGCCGCCGCACTCGCATCCGCATCACTCGCATCATCCGCAGCCGAATTCCCTGTCCTCGCGTTACCCCTCGCCGCCGTCACTGCCATCCGCGCAGTCTGGCGAGTCGATCGGGCTACCCGACGCACGTTCTTACTGTTTCGAGCCCCCGTACAGTCCTGCGCCACAGACCACCGCCATGTACGCTGGTCATATGCACACTCCCTCCGTAGACCTGCACTATCACCACAAGACGCGCGCCCTGCCGCTCGGCATACCGTCGTGCGACGTGCCGTCCGCCTACGCGCATGGATACGAGGGCGGCACGTTGCCGGGTAGAAAGGAGGATCAGCGTATACGCATACCGTCCAACACCAGCGTCACGTCCAAGAGCAGCGTCGGCAAGCTATCCACCGGTAGCATCGAACGTACCTCCGAGAGAGGCAGCCCTATGCCGACGTTCCACGTGGAAGTACTGAGCCCAGGTAGCGGCAGCGGTACCGGCAGTGGCAGTACCGGTGGTGGCAGCGGTGGCACAGTGAGAGGTAGCAGTGGCACGAAGCGCGCTAGCGCTAGCATGCCGGAATACGATTACTCGCAGTCGAGACCACCGGCTCCCGGTGAGCTGCGGCGTGTCCACATAGACAAGTCCGTGGAGCCGTTGGGCATTCAGATCTCGTGTCTCGAGAGTGGCGGTGTGTTCGTTTCCACCGTGTACGAGCACAGTCTGGCCTCGCAGGTAGGCCTGCAAATTGGTGATCAGTTGCTCGAGGTGTGCGGCATCAATATGAGGAGCGCGACTTACCAGTTGGCCGCCAACGTGCTGCGTCAGTGCGGTAACTCAATCACCATGCTGGTGCAGTATAGTCCGGATAGTGAGTACCGCGTGTTCCGCGAGGAACACGCTTTTTTTTTTTTTTTCCAGTTTCTCCGATACGATTGCGGAGGCGCGCTTTGTTAGGGTTTTTCCGGCATGTCTTTCACGAACGATACGAATGCTCTTTACTTGCACTTTCTCTTGTCTTGTGTTTGTCTCTCTTTCTCTTTGTTTTTCTCTCTCTAGCACATCTTTCTTATATTCCGTTCATTTGTCCACTATAAAAAAGATGAAAAAGATCGAGATAACTCGAGCCGAGTTTAACAAACGTAATTTCAGGGTTGTATATGGCAAACCAACTACTGTGATTTTTGCAGCAATTCTTGTATTTTTTTTAATTTCACTTGTTTTTGTAAAACAAGTTCGCAAAGACAGTTTAATTGGGCGATTGTAAAGCCGCATAGTACTAATTATCACTTAATCTTTCGATGAAAAATACTCATATTTTGCAACTGAGTGTTTTTGCAAGTATCTCGAGAAATTGATTCATCTCACACAAACGACTAACTAAAACGACGTTTTAGTTTCGATATTTTATTGTTGTCTGAATTTTGTAGTTGAAATTTCTGCGTCAGATTGTCGAGATCAGTCTCGATTGCAGATTTGCGATTTGTGCAACAGAGTTTATATAATCCTGAAACTTGGTTCTTTTTATTCGATCTTATTTTTCATTGTTCATAAATAAAAAAAATTTTATATGTAAAAGATATCTTTTTGGTAGATACATAAGAATTAAGAGAGATAAATGTTTTAACTTTTCAGACGCCTTTCAAATTTTACTAGTGTATTTCGGTAAGTTTCGCATAATATCAACGATTTTCTCTTTACAAGAATATACCGAACTGGAGGGCTCAGGGTCCTCGAGTTCGTCGGAAGCCGGCGATGGGGAGGCCGGTACCGGTAGCCGTAGCGGCTCGCCGACGCCGTGCAACAGCCCGGAGGCACCTCGAAAGAGCGCGGTCGAAACGTTGGAGCCGGCCGAACCGGAACGCGACGCCACCACCACCATCACCATCACCACCACCACCGGTGCCGCCGCGCCCACCATCACCAGCACTAACACCACAATGAGTACGCTGCGCGTCGAGCGGGACATGCGACCGTCCGCGTCGCTGGATGTGAGGAGCACGCAGGAACGGGAGCGCGAGATGCGGCCATCCGCGTCATTGGACATCAACATCCGTAAGCCGGAGTTGCGCAGCGCGGCCACGCTGGACCGACTGAACCGCGCGCAGATGCTACGGCAAAACGCGATGAGGAGCCCGACGCAGGAGGAGCAGAACAGGAAGCCGCCGCCGGGGATCGAGCCGCGATATCTGCTAATTGAGACCAGGAAGTGCTCGAATCTCGGCATCTCGCTCGTGGGCGGGAATGGCGTCGGTATTTTCGTGCATTCCGTTCAACCGGGTTGTCTCGCGGAGGAGGCCGGCCTGTTCCCTGGCGACAGGATTTTGGAGTACAACGGTGTGGATTTAAGACAAGCGACCGCTGAACAGGCCGCTCTCGAACTGGCACGACCAGCGGACAAGGTGACACTGGTCGCCCAGTATTTGCTTGAACGGTACAACGAGGTGAAAGACAAGCCAGGCGATAGTTTCTACGTGAAGGCGTTGTTCGACCGAGTCGGCGAGGTGGGTGACAGCCTGCAGCTGCGCTTCAGCAAAGATGACATATTGTACGTGGACAACACCATGTTCAACGGCACACCGGGTCACTGGCGAGCTTGGATCGTCGATCAGACCGGTCGTAGGCAAACTTGTGGAATCATTCCCAGCAAGTTCAAGTAAGTTATAAACGCTATGACTAATTGGTGCTGCGTGAATAACTGTACAAGAGAATAACTTTCGTGTCTCTCTCCCCCCTCTCTCTCTCTCTCTCTCTCTCTCTCTCTCTCTCTCTCTCTCTCTCTCACAATCTACTTCTTTCCTTTGATATTTCGTAATGAAACTCTAATATAGAGTGTACATATCTAATAAACATAGAGTAATCTCAAGAGAGGTCGAAGTACTCGGTAACGTGTAGTACTCACAAGAATAGACAAACAATGTTCCGTCAATATGCGTTCGCAACGATTGTTCTTATCTAGTTGAGGCAGCTTATCGATTTGTTCTGCATATAGACATAAAAAAATTTTTAGTATTTGCTATCTACGTCGCAAGTTATTTATGACTCGATCCGATACATTAATAGCTCACGATCGATAGCGTGGTGTATTTTGGAACGAAGTAGGGCACGACGGATAAACGTTTGTGGCAATTAGTGCGACTTAAACGGGGCGTGATCTATCCTCAGAGTTGAGGAGGAGCTACTTCTACGACGGTCCTTGGGCGATTTGGAGCAGGACGCTGGCAAGCGTAGCAACACGAGCGCGAGGAGGAGCTTCTTCCGTCGAAAGAAGCAGCAGCAGCGATCGTCCAGCAGCAGAGACAGCAAGGAACTGTCGCATCTCACGGGAGTCAATTTGGGATGGTACAGTGATAGCGGAACGTTGAACGAAGACACTCTTCCTGCGAGTTATCAGCGAGTCGAGAGACTCGACTGTACGTATCGATTTTATATCGTTTCAATATACAACACGTAAATTCACATTTATGTCACTAATGTATTTCCGACTTTTCATTCGTTTTGATTCGCAGATCCTACACTGAGACCTGTGCTGATTATCGGCCCCCTCAGCGAATGCGTGGTAACGAAACTTTTGCAGGAATACCCGAATCAGTTCACCAGGTGCCTGGCGGAGGCGATGCACTGCTCACAGGCCACCTTGGAGCAAGGTCTACGTGATTCACTCTACGTGGATTATAGAAAGAAGGGCAGCTACTTTGAGTGTACGACAGTGCAAGCAGTCAAAGATATATGTGAGAGGGTAAGACTACACACATATACATACAACATACTTGGAGAGAAATTATTCTGATATAATAAGTAAGAGTAACGAAGAAATAATACACAAAAATAATCATCAATATCATCATCATTCGTTGCTCTGGTCGTCTAAACACATTTTTACACTTACAATTGCATTCTTTTACTGTATACATGTTTTCTTTTACAGAATACGCACTGTATTTTGGATGTGTCAATCGCTTCCATCGAGAGGCTGCACAGACATCAAATTTATCCTATCGTCCTGTTGATCAAGTTCAAGGATAGGACGCAAATCAAAGAGGTGAAGGATTCGAGATACCCGAGCGACAAAATTAGTACAAAGGCGGCGAAAGAGATGTACGAACAGGCGCTCAAGATGGAAGCGGAGTATAAGCACTACATCTCCGGTAAGAAAATAGTGTTTCTAATTTTATTCGCGTGTATATAAGATATATAGGCACACTGTGCGCGCTTTATCGTTATTTAGACGGTACACAAGGCGATAAGTTTCACTTTTGACGAACAAACGTTCCGATTTTTCGGGACATTTCTTGTTGCATTTGACTTCCGAATATATCCGACCTATCGACTTGCATCGAAGATTTGACAAATAACGATCAAACAAATTGATTCTATAAAGTGCCAATATCAAAGTATTTAAACGAGTCGATTGATGAGATAAATGTCACGTGTCGAAATTCAACGTTTATATTCACGCTATGGCAATCGTTTCAGCTGTGATTCCAGCGGGCGTGAATGTGGCGTACATATGCACGCAAATGAAAGCCTCCGTAGATGATGAACAGAGCAAAGCTCTGTGGGTTCCTAAAGGGGGTCCCTGACACAAAAGGGGGGGCCCCCACAAGCCGCAGTGGAAGTCAATCTAATTCCACCAGGGGGCCCTTACGTCGTGCGTATACGCAAAATTGCAGTCGATTCTTTCGTTATTTATGGTCTCTTGATTTTTCGGCGGAGGAGGAAGAGGAGGAGGAGGATGTGACGCAGTCTGCGGATCCTTCGCTCGACGAATCGCCGCTACCGATCGTGCTGTTCATTCAGTTTGGTTGTGATAACGATTCTCGCAACGGTAATCCATCTTGCTTCAACTTTCCATTTAGCTCGTTGAAATCTTGCAGTGCAAAACTGGCACGTACTTTGGTTGCCGTCGCGTTTCTCTCGGTCGCCGTTTAACAAAAACTGAACTCTTCGTTTTTATCCTTCTTCTAGTTGTCTGAATTCTTTTCGGTATATTACATGTAATAGCTCACATCTGTGATCGCTAAAATTATAATAGAAACTACATAAATACGCGCGTGAACACGATCTCTTGGAACCGGCTCTACCGTAAAGGATTATATTTTATTTTGCATTTTATTTGTTCAATGAAGTTGAGTGATTTACCAATTAGATGCTCGTTTTGTTTGCCTTTTTCTGTTTAATCCGAGTATTCGCTTGTTGCCTGAAAGTATCAAACGATTCGCGCTCTCAATAGCCAGTCCGCTTCGATCTTCGATCGCGTGTAAATGTCAAGCAATGCAACGGGAAGTGCAGCTATAAGAATTACGCAAAACTAATGATTCGTAAGAGACCATGAGTGGATCAGTGCGCTAGATCGCTAGATGTGAAGACACTCGTCGTATTGCGGCCCGTTCGAAAAAAAGAAAGATTGGTGGATTAATATTGACGAATCGTATGTTTTAATTAGAGGATAAGCACGTTACGGTCATTTCGATGGCCATCGCGTCGATTAACCCCTCAGACCAAAATCGATGTACAGAAACAAGTTTCGATGGCGTGTATCGAGAAATTGGTTATTTTATAATAAGTAGTGAGAAACTGTATAGAGAGGAAGAGAGGGAGAAAGAGAAACACACACAATATAAACTATATAAGCTATACATATATAAATAAATATATATATATTTATATAAAGTGTGTGTATATTAAAGAGAGTTACTTATATGTATATAATTTATTTACGCAATTTTATATACGCGTTTGTCCACTAATTCTCTTAGTTTATATTATGCAGAGGTTTACACTTAAGTTGTATATTGCTTTATGCTATTTTTTTAACAACGATAAGTTGGCAAAGAAGAAAAGGGCACATCTATCGCGTGCACATAACGTATATTTAAACGTGTTTGAGGGGTTAATAACGTACGCGCGCGCAAATACAGTCGCGATAAATTAAGGAATTGAGAGAAGAGTTCTTCGGCAAAGAAAGAGCGATGGAATTGACGCGCGACAACACTCCTGTTCCTGTTAACCGAATTGTAAATACGTGTAGTGGTTGAGCGAAATCGAAATCAACGTAACACATATTACGTTTGTGTAATCGTAACGTAGTAATCCGATTGCTTTCTTACGTCTGAGAGATCGGAGCTTTCGTATCGCGATTTTACGACACATGCTGTTTTTAAACGAGCTTATATATACATACATATATACATACATATATATATATATATATATATATATGTGTGTGTGTATATACATACATACACATATATATTACATACATAAATATGTATGTATGTATATATGTACATATATATACACATATATGTATATATGTGACATGTATATACACACATATATGTATATATGTGCATGTATGTGTGTATGTGTGTGTGTGTGTGTGTGTGTATACACACGTACGCGTGGAAAATAACAGAAAGGATCTATCGTGGACTCGAAAAGATCCACATGTATATCCGCGAACATTTGTTTACATTCTTATGATAATATTACTTGTATACGTTTTTTTTCTACACACACATATACACAGTGTCGCGATAACGAGATGAATTATTTAGGGGATATTTTGTAAACCAATGTAATATTAATTTAGTGACGTATCTTTTTAGTGACGTATCAGTTAGCCGTATCTGTACCTGAACCGGTGATTTCGTAATACGGACGAAGATACGAGTCTTTCTCTTTTTCCTTTTTTTTTTTTTTTATCAATCGGACAGAGCAATATACAAAGTACATCCGTGATGTAAAAGAAAATTTATACACGACAAAATATTATTTTTTTTCTTGCTTAAAATCGCGTTGATGAGCGTTAGCGGTAACGTCGGTCAAAATTATAAACCGCTATCACGCGCCGCGAGGATCGGCTTGCAATCGCGACGTGATCGGCAATACTCAATTCGGTATGATTGTTTGTAGTGATTATCTACGCGAATTTAGGGATATATCTGTTGCGGGTAATATAATTTACGATGAGTGAGAAGAGGAGCGCACGCCGAGCAAGCGAGCCTGTCGTTTCATCGCGAAATTTTCTTTTTCAACGAGACAATATCTAGACGTAAGTTAAAGAAGCGAGACCAAAAAAGCTAAAGAAAAAACTCGTTAATGTTAACTTAATACAGGGATTGTGATTAAATTTATGCCGATGCCGGTTATAGCGTTGGCGCATTTATAATACAGAAAAGCGATAGATATACTTTTTGATATATATCAGACTAGGGCAGATTGCCCCCTGTGTGTTTCACACAGTAGAGAACGCGCTCGTATTTAAATATGTACAGAGGGACCAAGCATCGATTGGTTGGTGTCTTCGTAACGACGAAGGATATACAGGAAAGAAAGAAAGAACGAAATTTACGATTTATAACAATAAAATGGTGGCTGTACGGTGGCTGTAGAAACTTTTAAAGAGAACAAACAACGCAGAGACGTGAAGCAAAAAAGAAAAGTAATCGTGCGACGAGAAAAAGAAATTTCACGAACGATCGTCTGGAGATTTCGCGCCGAAATCTCAGCGAACAAAAGGTCTGATCTTTCCGAAGAACTTCCTAAGCTGGTATACACTGCTGCAATAAGTTAGAGTGAAACAAGTATATTACGTCACTCACTCTAACTTACAGGATCAATGTACACTACTGTTCAGGAAGTTCTTCAAAAAAGAATAGGTCTAATCTCGATCCTCTCTTGGAGAACCGATCACACTCTCTCGCGGTAAGATCGAACGCGCAGGCGAAGAACTAGGCAAAAAAACAAACGGAAGAAAATTAAAGAATTATATTGCAAATTAATTACTCTCTCTCAATCACAGCACTGTGATACACGTAATGTTACTCCTTCGATGACATATCAACTTAACAATCCTTTTACATATATATTTACACACATACATATATTATAAATACATATATATACACGATATAAAACACATATTTTGGGCAATACTTATATATACACACACACATACACATCTAGATATGAATGTTACATGTATAACAACGCACTCTCTCGATATTTTTCATCGTAAACACGTGATTTAGAGAAGAATGAGGAAACAACTGTTGTAACTGGATGTATACGCGACCATAATATAGGGAAAAAAAATGCTGTATCCGCGATTTCAGTCTGCGGGAACGAGTCGAGTCCGACGACTCGGCCGCTGAAATACGCCACTGAGTAGTAACCAGAGATTCATCCGTTGAACGAACATAGACACAAGGTCCGTCTCTATATTTGCACTTTTCGAAGCACACTTTCTTCGACGAAACAATACAAACGCGCTCGTGTGACATCGCTCTATCGTACAGGGCGCTAATTTTTATACTTTTTATGGCAAAGCGAGAGTATCGTCGAAATGTTCAATGTTGTTCATTCTCAATACGACGCACGAAAAGAGCGATCTTGTTAACACGTTTTACGAAGTCCTCTTGTACCGACTATAGTTAGATAAAAATTGCCGAGTTTGTTACACCATCGTCATGAGATCGTCTCTCGTGAGGCCGATCTTACCCTGTACGAGCCAAGAGCGACGCGCACGTTCGTGACTAGTCCTCGTTAGTATTCTCCGCTGTTTTCTATGATGAACAACCTGTGTGTGTTGTATCCTCCATCGCACTAATCGTCCGATAATGTGCAGACAGACACGAGGGGATGGTCTTTTCCGTGCGTTTTACGCTCGCAAACTCCTGGTCTCATCTGACACTCGAAGAGGCGTAGCCTCTCGTTCGCGTGATGAATCGCACGCTTCAACAGCCCGCGAAAGAACAAATCGCTTACGCCGCAGTCACGCGAGTGAGTTTACGAGCTTAAGCGCACGGGAGAATTATCAACGCATCTGTCTCTGATAAGTAATCAGCGTCGTCTGTCGCCGCATTTTCTAGCGTCACTGTCTCTATCTATTAACTGTCCTCACGATTTATGTCGACTTTGTATCTACGTATTACTACACGTGCCGCCGCGGACGGGCGAAACGCCATACGCATGGCTTTCTCTTTTCTCCGTCTCTCTGTCTCTCCGTTCGTGTATGTGTCGAGCCGCGTGAACTCGTTTTCCGCAGAAAACTGTGTACTCGCTCGTGTTGCAACGATACTCGTTGGAATTGCGATGTCGCGGAAGTAATTGTGCGACAGCGATTAACGATAGAGAGAAATTTACTTAACAACATGGCACGATATTTATACAATGCTTCTGCACTCGTCCTCAATCTTGTCTTGTAAATTCTGCGACGGTGTAATTTCGCGAAGAGTTCGGCGGCGCTACGCGCCGGTTCTTTGGAATTCGATAAACGATACTAAACTGTATCGATTGTTAAAATTCGGACGGGCGGCGCGTTCTAACAGTATTACCTTGTTATCAGTATTGGAAATCGAGAGAGGGAACGCGGAGAAAAAAAATATCACGCGGTTTTGATACCAGAACGGTGCGTATCGTTTCGCCGGTCTCGGGTCTCTTTAAGCGGAAATAGTTTTTCGCGCATACTTTAAAGTGTGATATTAATCAATGCATAACCCGAAGGTTGACAAGCATGCTCGATAGGGTCCCTGACGGAATAGTTTCTCCGTACGAAGTTTCGCGCGGTCGCCAACTCAATTGATCGGATATACAGAGTGCGTTCATTTCTCACGATCGATTTTATGGTTCAATCTTTGAATATTGCGGCGAGGCTCGTTGTGAAATGAATCACGAGCGTAACGATACTCGCGTTAAGTTAAGAAGAGACATATATAATCACTTTTGCAGGCGCGAAAGTAAACAGGAGAAGTGAAATAGAGAAATGCATTTTTGTAGTTATGCGCGAAGCGGAAGAAACGAACTCGAAGTGAACATCTCTGAAGAAACTTTAAGCGGATATTGCGTAAACGTGGATTGCCTTGTACTTCTCTCCCTCACGGTGTCTCCCTCTTCTTCTTTGTGATACAAGTATTGCGTGTTCTTGATTGTAAAACTGAGGATCAAGGATCTCACGTTCGCAAAGAAAATCTCAGAAAGACTATCTATTTCCAATTATTGATCGTGAAGAAAATACTAAAAGATTAGAATATTTTTACATCTATGTTGCCTGGGAAATTTTCCCACAGTGAAAACTGGACGCCCTGTGTGAGGGAGGGACCGAGTGATCTCGGTCAAGGCTACATAAGAGTCTGAGCCCTTTTATGTCGTCTCGGAGGTAATCCGCGGTTACACGCCACATTAAATAAATTCCCAGATGTTTGCGTGAAAAGATAGCAAGAAAGAATCGAGTTCCTTTGAAGCACACACACGCGGGCATGCGTGCGTCTGTCTGTTTTAATCACGAACGAATGTTATCATGAGTTGTGGAAGGAAAGAAGAACGCTCGATTAACTCCGACGTGCGCGATTTTTTGCAAAAATGTTCCGCTCCAGTTAACTCGATATGATAGGGGAGAAGCGGTTCGCGTTACATAGTTAAAGCGTCGTACATTATGTAGACTCGTGTTATATATTGGCGATTAATAATGTCAATCGGCAATTCGAAAAACGAGCCGATCGAGATAATAATATGTAATACCCGCTGCTGCCGCCCTGCCGAGGAGGGCTTCCGAAATAATGAGACCGTCGTTTTACCAACTTTTCTACTATTAGTCGAGAATCGTGTTAATTAATTAATTAGATCCCGGCGGACCGCTCACACTACGTCGAGTTCTTTCTCGGCAAGCTCATCGTTCCCGCTGATATTTACAAATTGTTATCGTAGATGAGCAATGCCGCGAGTGCGCGGTCGACGGCACGATCTATTCGCAGTTACGAAACTTTGTGCTACGAATCACCATCTTGAACTTACACGCAAATTATATTGTTCATCACGCAGTCCGATACCGTGCGATTCATGTGTAGGAAGTTTCGTAACACACACAAGTGCACAAGTTTAAGCAGTTCAGACACTTCCAGGTTAATTAGAGGCGCGTTGGTCTTAATATGATCACTGTGTGTGTCCTTTGTTACAATAATAATAATACGATAATCACTATCCAAGTTAAACTACTCAAACGCACGCGTAAATTATATATTTCTGCGATACTAATTAGCGTCGTATAAATGCAGAATGTAGCTAATTCTTGTCAATAACTCTCAAGACAATCGTTTTCTCACTATATATACTCGATGAATTTTTGGACTGACGATATATTCCAATTAATACACACTCATACGTTATTGTACCGAGCACAGTGAATTTATCGAAGATGTTTTGATTACGCGTTTCTTTGACTTTGAGGAAAAATCCGAGAGGGGATCTTTCAGGAATGATGACTGCGATTCTCCGTGAAGCGAGAAAGTGTCGAATAATAGGCAGCTCAGTAATATTACATAGGCAATTTAGAATTTGTTGACAAAAGAAACATAATTGATACACATGTACACACTGACACACATACATACACACATATACGCATCACACACGGTGTTTAATACACGGTGCAAACCGAAATTTGTGATTGTGCCAAGAAATAGAAATATTTTTTATACGAATTGGTATTTTAGCTGGTGGACGACGTTGTAACTCACGGAACAGAACGAAATTTAGATTAGACAATCTGATCGAAGGTAAACTATTTCGTGTGTTGGTACGGACAGCGAATCGGGCGTGTCTCTGTCGAGCACAAGCACGTGATTCTCGTCTCGAGCGAATTTTCTTACACCCCGAAAATAAAACGTCTTTTGCTCGAGGAGACACGACGGCGCTCTGTACTTTTTTCGCTGTTGAATCGCGTCTTCCTGCTTCTTTTCTGCCATATACCTAAGTAAAAAAAGGGGAGAAAAGAAGAGAGAAAGAAAACGAGAAAGGGAAACAGTTATCCTGCTCGTTTATAAGAATCAAAACTCAATGAATTGTTATAAGTTTTATGGTGTTTCTTACCGTGTGTGTTACAAATAATTGTTTACTGTGAATCTATATAACAATCGTGCAATATCTTGTTACTCGGTATCGTTTCCATATATTTCTCGTGAAAGCTGGCGATCTTTTGCGTAAATTCACAGCCGAGGGACTCGGTCGAAGAATTCCCCTTGTTGTGCATACGCGACAGTATAATATGACAAATCAATCCAGAAACCGTCGAGACACTCCGACACAAGTAACAAAGTAACGAGAGAAGGGCGCTGACGAGAGTGAGAGGTATTACGAGATAGTACACACATTTTCGAAGACGTTTTATTTTCTTCTTCCTGCAATGGTTTTGATACCAAATGTTTTAGCTCGTATTTATAAAGATACACATTATGTCATTACGCAATGTATCGTTATACATATAATATACGCGCGTTATTATACGTAAATGAAAAGAAAAAACGCGTATATTTTCTAGGATATATGTAAAAATGTACAGGGTATCGCGCATCGACTCAGGTCCGATACATCCTGTACACGTGCTATATATATGATATGTACATACACACGTGTGTATATATATATATATATGTGTGTGTATGTATATATATATATATATATATATATACACAACGGAATACGAACAATTAATGACGTTTGTAATACCACATTAATGAATGTACAAGATAATCGGTATTATTATTGAGTTATACATTCAGCGCTACGCGTGAATGCTCGAAACGAAACAAAATGACAAAAATTACAAAAAAAACTGATTAAAAAAATATTAATGTCTTAAGGATCGTTACTATTTGTGAACCTTCTTCTTTGTAAAACGCGCGACAATATTGTCGGATATGTAGAGGGAAAGCAAGGAAAATAAAGTCGATTGTAACGAAGCGTGCACGTTATTTTCGGCGATCCCGACGACGTATTCCATTAAATCTCCACAATTTATAGCTGTCAATCGCGTTATTAATCGCGATTCAATTGTTGTAATCGGTTGTAATTAAAGTCGGCGGTGCGGGTGATGAGCGCGAGCACACGAGAAAAGCGTATAGTAGTATAAAAAAAGTAGCGTATTTTATTCACGAGCCTTATCTGCTTTGAACAGAGTTATTTCGAGCATATATATATATATATATATG